ATCCATCCACCAACCCTTCCATTCATCCATGATCAACTCTTTAAAGAACGTCACCGTACCATCATCGGCCGAGGCTTCACTGGTGTAGCCGTCATAGTCAGCTCTCAGGGGGCTGTACTTCCGACGGCACTCCCATTGAAACACCGCATGTTTGACGTTAGCGGCCGCTGCTCTGAGGCCCTGTGAGCGGCTGACTGCCTCCTGGTACTGACCCATCAGCTCATCCTCACTGTCAGACGACGAGTCCTGCAGATCAGCGCCACAGTCTGTTCAAACAGAATCAAACGACAGCATTAAAATGATGCATCTTTAGACGGAAGTGTAAAAGAAGAAGAAGAACTGAATAACCTGGAATGTCTTCTATAAATCATTAATAATTACAAAAGCCTAGTTAGAGTAACAAACATGTATTTGGGAACAAAATACGGTGTCTACAGTGACTGAATATATTTTTTACTGCATCAAGTACTACTCATAGGTCAACAGCATTATACCATATTCATTACAGCATCAGGCTCCTCCCCCTCTGCTGTCAAGAACAGACACAGATCTAACATGAACCCCTTCTGACTAGAACTAGAACTTTATTATTTATTATTATTTAGGTGTTTTTATATTTTGGTTGTTTAATGTAGATTGATTGTTGATCGACTGAATCAAACTGTGAGTCTGTTTGGATAAAAGCCTCTGCTAAATGTAATGTAGTGACAACACATATGAATAGTGCTTGACAAATATACAGTATAGACACACAGGGCGGCAGCCTCACCGTGTAACTCATCGAGGCACTGAAGGCTGCCTGGGTTTTCTATCGCCAACTTGTTGTTGAGAAACCAGAACAGAAAGGTGATGAGGATGATGAAGAGGCTGATGGCTGTCAGAAAACCCAGCACTTCAGGAGACACTGAAGACAAAACACAAGTCTTTGTAGTTTTACTTCTGACACAGTGAAGTACATAATAAAGACCTTGACCTAAGGGTGCGTCGTGTTGGTGTCATTTATTTAGTTTAGTATCAAATAAATACGACGACTACCTGGTCAAAGTCTTTAAACGTTGATGGGTTTGTTGAAAGTTTTTATTCATGTGAATCGTGTACACGTCAATAAAGAGAGAAAGTTTCTAATACTGTAGCCCGTTAGTTACCATGGCAACATGCGCATCAGCACTCAGGACTCCAGAGACAGACAAATCCTGCAAAAAAAATAGAGTGAACCAGCAGTTCGTGTACGATGGTACTACAGTACTACAGTACTACAGTCCACTTCTCTCCACTGAGTTCATGTGTGGTTATTTATTGAAGGACTAACGTCAGTGAGTGTGTGGTGCTGGTTGTGTTTCACCTGTTATAGGATGTTGTCATGACAACTGTGTTCACACCTGGGGTGATAAAAGTGCAGAGAAGATTCTTTTACTTTTTCAATGCATTGTTTAAATTTAATATAGTGTTTGTGCAGTGCAGCAGTCTGACAGTAGGTGGAACAGTGAGTTCAGTTCATTCACAGCTGTATCTTCACTCATCGTATGATTTCTGGTCTTAAAAGAAATATCAGAGGCAAGAAACTTGTCAGAACCAGGAACTCACCCACACACACACAAAGAGAGAGAGAGAGAGAGAGCGAGAACTCGCCCCCTACACACACACACATACACACTCCCACACACAACTAGCTGATGCTCTGAAGCACAGTGAACAAAACCAGACTCTTTAGTCAAAATGATCATCATTTCTCACGATTCATTTTCATCGTCATCGTGATATGAATGTCCACATCACACACATCACCAAGGCTGACATTTGACCAATCAGATGAAGCCCAGCTCCGAGGACTAAAGAGAACGGCAGGGCCTTCATCCTGGATTTCAGTTCACGACTCGTTCTTGTTTTGATAACAAGGGCTTTTATTTTGAAAGGTTTCTAAGTTCTGTTTCTTCTGACTCTAACAATCTTTAGATTATTTGTTAGCCTGTAGCATTTAGCTGTTATTTGTGTTTCATTTACGTCTGTAGTTTATTAATTACTGCTTAATGATTGTTAATTAAGTTCCAGCAGCTTACCTACATTCTCGTTGTGTTACGGTCATGTGATCAGATGTCACTGAACTGAAACCAGTTTAAATGTTAGGGTTAGCATTTAGGATTTTCAATCAGATTAAAAAATCACCAGTTTCAGAGTGAGTCCGCCCTACGGTGAGATATGCTACGCATATGATGCCCATTAATACCATGACTGGGGTGAATGTGGTCATACAGCAGGGAGTGAAGGAGGAACATCTGTCCGTACCTTTTCTGACGCAGACAAGTTCATGAACTCCACAGTTACGTTCTCCACCTGAAAGACAACGCAGTTTCAATGAGACACTGGGACAAAAACAAGGCACGAAGACAAATATACGAGAAAATCTACAAAACCTCTGACTGAGACACTGAGACACAGAACAGAGGTGGGGGGTGAGGGGTGAGGGGTGTGGAGGGGGGGTCTTACAGAGTCTGAATGTTCTTCTGGTGTGTGAGGAGTTGTCTTTCCATCATTAAAATCAGTATTTTATATCAGATTCTAACAGAAGGCAGATCTGTGGTGGAACAAGTCATGAAAAGTCATGAAAAGTCATGAAAAGTCATGAAAAGTCATGATGGCCACTGACCACAGCAGGGAGGTGAAGGAGAAAACACACGTCAGTGAGACCTGAGCCCAGAGAACAGAGTGTGTGGGAGGAGTTCCTTAAATAGTTCTTGGTCCAACAGATGAGAACAGCAGCAGCTGTGAGGGGGAGGAGCCTCCCCCTGGAATCTCTCTCTCTCTCCCTCTCCCCCTCTCTCTCTCCCCCTCCCTCTCTCTCTCCCTCTCTCTCTCTCTCTCTCTCTCTCTCCCTCTTTCTCTCTCTCTCTGAGTCGACCGACAGTTGATCAACAGCACAGACATCATGTCCAATGAAAGAACAGCACCAGCCAATCACTGGAGAGTTTCTCCATCAGGGAACATAGATGTGCTGTCATAGCCACGCCCACAACAGTTCATTAGCTGTAAAGATCAGCTGACTTCAAAGTTTACAAAGTGGAAAAACAACTACCTCAAACCCAGTGAGTGGGGGAGGT